AAGTCAAAGCAAGTTGTTTTCCAGTAAACAAATGCCAGGGGACTCAGCAACCGCTGAGTCATTTCAGCGTGGGGAAGGGGCCACTAAGCAACGCTAGCAAGGACACAAAGGCTTCTTCCCTCTCTTCTGGGTTCCCAGGGCCATTACTTCCCTGCCACTACTCTCACCTACCTTCAGACGGCCACGTACTTCTCCATAGTTCTGCCTTCTCTGACCTCAACCACCACATTTCCATGGCTTTCTACTTATGAAATATCTTAGACAACTGAGAAGCTTCAAAGTATATTTGTAAATGATCATATTTACATTCACATTGTAAATGTGAAGCTCAGGAGAGAAATCTAACTGTAACCTGTAATTAGCATAATACTCCGAAAACATTTTTGTGCAATAATTTTAAGCAAAAGGAAAGTTTATTTTAACAAAATCTTGTGTTTTATTGAGTTTTAACACTGGGCCATTAATTTAAATCATTTTTCCACATTCTTTCACTTAAACTAACGCTCAAGCAGGTGAAAGCATACTCTATATCCCATAGCTAAAAAACTAAACAGGCAAACCACTCAAATTCTAAAGCTCAAAAAACAAAACATCTTCAAAATATTAAGAAACAAAGACTAATTTAAATTTTAATGCTAACATTTAGCAATTCAAATGACAGAACAGGATGTGTACAATTGCCTGACAAGGTTTCCTGCACATACACTGAATGCCAGGATGCTTCCAGCAAAATCTGACCTACATACAAAGGATGATCAGAAGATCTGGTGAATGTCTGAGTTTTTAAAAATTTATAAGCTGAGCATGGAGGCGCATGCCTGTAATCCCAGCACTCGGGAAGCTAGGGCAGGAGGATCAGTGCACATTAAGGCCAGCTGGGCTACATAGCCAGCTCATGTCTCAAAGAATCAAAAGTCAAAACAAAACAAAAACAAACTTACTACAGTACAAGACACATTGCCAAAACTGATGAGATAAGCATGTTGAAAGTGAGGGAGGACTTGGAGGAGAGTTAATAGCCAATGTGTCTTTTATTGTAATACATTTCTAGATTTAAACATCTATATTTTATAACCACTTCTCGTTGATTAACTAGGTAGGAGAATTTTTTTTAAAACACCAAATACATTTATTAGAAAAGAAGAAAGTTATGAAATACCTTCATATCCTTCCTTAAGAAATTAGAAATAAAAGACAGTAAAACAAAAAAATTGAAGAAAATAATTCTGTGGGGGAATTTGTCAAAATTATCATAAAATAAAAAAATTGAGATGTTAGGCACATGTAGCCACTCTCCACAAGGAATGTAATCAGTATGTACTACAAACATGTACTAATACAAAGTTTTAAAAGTCAAAACAAAACAAAGAATTACAGTATGTCCTTATCTGCCTTATTCACTAGATCTGGCACCCTGTGAGTTCTGGCTCTTCCCCAGAGTCATAAATGCTATGAAAGGGAAATGTTTCGCATGGATTCAGGACATCAAGGCAGCTAGGACAGCACAACTGAAGACCCTCAGAAAGGGCACTCCAGAGCTGCTGCAGACAGTGGAACAGGATGAGTGTGCTCAAAGGGTGGGTATTTTGAGCAAGATCTGTGGCAATGTATTTTTTAAAGTATAACAGTATTTTTTTAAAGTTTTAAGCAGTCACTATTCTTTTTATTGAATTGCATATGGCCTAGGCTTGATTTTTTTACATCCTACCCTGATGACTTCCTATGATTTATAATTATCCCCATGCTAATCATAAAACTTCTCGTTAAATTCCTTTGATGTTCAGAAGTTTCTGAATTAGTAAAATTGAGACCAGTGGATTAAGAAAAGAGATAAATTCCAGTTTCTCTTATACTGCCACTGAGACTGCCTCACAAAGGATTATATAATTAGATCAAATTGACATCACAACTCTGTTTTTATAGCTCTCCTGCTTGATTTTTAATTATAGTGACACCTGACAATAAAAGGAAAGATACACTACGTCCTTGCAAAAGTGATGAAATGTATACAAGAGCACCTCTGAACCTGAAAGGCCCCACCAAGGGCTGGATACCACTGCCAGATTCTCCACCTACAGAGCGAGCAATGGGAGCTCATCTCCAGCCCCAGCCTGCCAAACAACAAGACGGGTCAGATAATAATGGATATGTCTCCTCACAAGTGTGGAGCCCAGACTTCCCTTCCCACTGCAGTATGCGAAAAGCAAACCTTTCTTGGCCTCAGGCCATGAAGAAGTAACAGAATTTCTGTAAGGGGGCAGCAACCAGACACTAGGCCATGGAGAACTTAAAGCATACACTTCAGGAGTTCAGGAAACAAACCCTTGTGATAATTACGGAATTCGTAATGATTTTTAAAAGATTTCACAGGAGTGTATGAAAAGAGAGACCGAGATTGCTACCCCTTCCCTTCCTCAGGTTTTAAGTTACAGAATTTCAGAACTGTAAATGAAACAGTGCTTACATATTATAGTCTAGCAATTTCAAAATAAAAACAGTTCAATAAAAACAGGTCAGGGGCTGGGGATTTAGCTCAGCGGCATAAGTGCCTGCCTTGGAAGCAGGTAGTCATGAGTTGATCCCTTGTACCGATAAAAAGCAATCACTGCATATGATAAATACTTGCACTTCTACTTGCCTTTCTTTATCAAGCAGCCTAAACAATCAAAGATCACTCTCATGTATAAGAAAGTATGGCTAATTTACACATCTAAGGAAAAGACAACAAAGTTTTACTGTCAAATAATAAAGTTAGCAATGCCACTATCATGACCAGAGGATGAACTTCAATGACCCTCAGAGGTTTTGATACCAACAGAAACTCTCAGATGTATAGTACACAGAACATCTTTAGGTGGTGGGCACAAGGAAAAGCCTGCAATTCTCCAAGAACATTCTTTCTGAATACAGCGGCAAAGGCTTTGTGTGACACAACAGTATACTCAACTTTCACCCTGATTTCATGTCCCTCCATCTCCTGCAGCATATGAGTGAAAACAGCCTGCTTGCAGAGGTCTATTAATTCTAATGAAATAAACCAAAGGGAAAAGAGAAACACACTTAAGTGAATCTTTGGGGTTTATTCTATAATTAGAAAATAAAATTGGTAACTCATGCTGGTGTGGTGGCACACAACTGTAACCCAGCATTTGGGAGGCTGAGGCAGGATCATTTCAAGTTAGAGGCTAGCCTGGGCCACATAGTGAGTTCAAGGCCAGCCTGGACTACATACTGAGACCTGTCTCAACAAAACAACTCCCCACAAAAATTAGTAATTTGAGAGAATGATGAGTTTTAAAAAAGTAAATGACTAGACTGAGCTCATGGGGTTGGTCGTATTCAGTGAACCTGGGCCTCTTGCACACCTGTCCTCCTCTCGCCCCGCATGCACATCTCCACCCCATCACAGGCTGCTCTTCTGGAAATGACTGCTTTATGTTATGATGTTGACAAGTTCAATTAATGTCACTTTCTCTTCTTTGCTGTAAGTTTTATTATAATTTCTACTAAGTTCAGCTTTTTTAGGTGCATCTAACAAATGGAAAAACTAAGAAACGTAAAGCTTTTAAAGTTCAGCAACACAAAGGCCCCACAAGAAACACTTCTAGTGTGTAACAGCAACTTATTTTGTAAATTTGCATAGCAATTTTAAGACTTTAACTTAATACAAATATATGCATGCATGCTGTTCGAGTGCGGGTATATTTTGAGTTGATTTTAAAGAAAAGAAGCAGTTCTCCTTACTTAGGAAAAGCATTATCACTGGTTGCTGAGCCTTCTTAATAATGTCAGGTACTTTTTGACAAGTACAACAAAATTAATCTTCCTCCAAAATGTAACATCTGTAAAGTTAACTGAGCTCTCTGAATTTATACTACCTTTACTTACCAGGCCAAAGTTAACTTTATTCACAGGCCTAAGTGAATTAAGAAGGAATTGCTTAGATAATCATATGAAACTAACTAGGCAAAAGAAAAACCGGTTATTAGCTAAATATTGATTATTCATAAAATGGGCACCATGTTAATCTGCTCTGCTTTAATCAGTTCTAAAAGAATTATTAAATCAATTATGTAAACTAATTTCACAGGGCTTGAGAAAATGCTCAAAAACTTCCTTGTTTTTCTAAAATATCTTAAAACTTTCATAGAACTTGTTAAGACAAACCAGTTTTTCTAGATCCCATAGAAGCCAACTGCAACCTATATGCCACCCAATTAGGATAAATATTGAATCAGTGTGCTGCGAACTAGTAAAATTTTTACTGGTTCCAGTATCTGGCCCATCGGATGTGGACTCATTCCACTGCGGAGGCCTGCTTTATTCATATGCCATCCTGACCATCCGTGCCGTGCTACCTGCGCACCTGTCCGGCCAGTCTTCCGGATGGTGCATGCGGTGGGCACCACACGAGACCGCTGTGAATCGCAGGCCTGTCCAGCAGCGCTGCGCAGAAACAGTCACCAGATCGAAGAACTAAGAGGCTGCATGATTCGCGGCAGCATCTCCACAGACCTTCGCACACAGCATGCTCTATCAGCTCCCTTATGTCGAAAACCTCACAAGGCCAAATTCTGATAATGAGTCAAATCCAGGTTAGTTCATTTAAACTACATAGCTTACTTTAAATGCATTCTTAACAGCTGTGATTCCTAAATCTCTTGCTCCCATATTCAGTTAAGAATCCTGGCTCACTCACATACCCTTCCCAATTCTCATTTCATTCACATTTTATCCATTAAAGTGAGCACATTGTATTTGGTTTCTTTTCTTCCTACTCATTGTTCAGATTAGCATTTTAATAATCTTTTAAGCAATGCAGCTGAGAGACAGGCACTGAGGACCTGAAGAAAATTCCCTGAGACCCACGTTATTCAGAGAGATCTTTTTTTCTAGACTATTTATTAAAAACCCATATGAACCAAGTACTGCAACTGGTAAATAGCTACAAAAAATGGAAAGTTGAAAAATAAAGCCGTTGAGAGCACTCCATTACACACCTTCTCCGGGAAGCCCTTTGTTCCCCCTGAAAACCATGCCGGAGTCGCGCAGGAGAGAAGGAGCCGCCTGCTGTCAAGGCCGCCGTCAGTACCTGGCGGTGCAGACCCTCCTCGCTCTCGCAGCGCGGCAGAGGAGGCTGGGACCTGCTCAGCCCTCGAGCAGCTCAGCCCGGCTTCCACAAAGGCAGAGCGCGGGCCCACATAGCAACAGCGCCGGCCGCTGATTGGCCGGCCCGCGCGTGCGCTGCTCTGGGCCGCTTCCTGTCGACTTGGCAGCGCGCTCCTGCTTTCTCTGCCCTGTACCAACTCAGCTGTGTTTAGGCAACTTGAAAGCGAAGAACAGCGGCCTGATAATGACAAAGGACTCCAGCACCAGCCCTACAATGTGCACTTCTAGTTGCTTCTAAAAAATACAGAGACATGTATAAGACAAAGATGTATGTCTCGGCTACTGTTTTGCGCAAAACTAGGGACAAAAAAGGGTTGGGAAGGAAATCAATTCCTGAACACTGAGTCCATCAGGGAGCTCTCTGAAAACAGACACGGGAAGGCCTGCACCCACTTGGGTGAACTGGTGTCAACCTCTGTTATCTACAATTCACTTCAGTAATTCCCACTAAGGCACAACCAGTTGGTGTTTAAAGTGGGTTAGGGTCTGCAAAAATTCTCTCCTGAAAGGTGTACAGGTGCCTTTTATGGGGGCAAGAAGAGCAAGTTAACAGGCTGAAGAGAACAACCAGACTTGAAAGGACAAAGAGTCAGTTACTGAGTAAGCTCTGACAATGTAAGACCTAGGGAGGTACTCGCAGTACAAGGTCTCTTGTTACATAAAACAGTGACATTTTGCCTGAACTCATTTATCTTAAAATTATCTGGAGATATGAAGGTTTAGGTTTTCTTTTCAGGTTTCAAGTACAGTCTACCAGTCAGCACTCTCTTTGCATACTTTAACAACAAAAATCCCCTCCCCCTTACAAAGTTGGTTAGGTCGAGAAGGACAGAAACCATCAGAAAAATTTCTCATTTCAAAAACATCTTCCCTAGGGCCGAGCATGGTGGTGCATGCCTGTAATCCTAGCACTGGAGAGGCTGAGGCAGGAGGATCACTTCTAGTTCAAGGCTAGCCTGGGCTACATAGGAAGACCTTGCCTCAAAAGGGGTGGGGATGGGGGTGGGGGCTCCAAACTCTGAAAGCAGTGGAAACTTTTTATTTGCAGTCTTTCAATAAAGAGCACGGCCACGGTAGCTCTAGAAAGGTTTGTGGGAACAGGCAGAGCTGCAGCAGCCACACACGGTTGTCACCTGCAGCTTTATTTCTCCGGAGTATGCTAGACAGGGACGCGCAGGGCAATAGAAATGCTGGCGCTCCTAAGGCACCCCAGGAGCACCATGAGGCTATTTTTAAACTGGAGGCTACAAACAGAAGTCTGTTTCCAACCAGCCCTGGAGCCCAAAGACGTCTGCCCCTGGAGAAGCCTCCAGCACAGGACACAGGAAGAGCGAGTCTGTCTTTTAAGGAAAGAATTGGATCCCTAGCTCCACAGCCAGCCAGAGGCAGAGCCCCCAAAGCCTGAGGATGCACAGCAAGGACAGGGTGCTGGGGAACAGTGAGCCTGAGAGATGGGTGACTGGGAGAAGCATGGCATTACCGAACAAGGTGTTTGGCATCAGGACAAAGTGGATCCCAAACACGAACCTGACAGTTACCCACCATGAGGGCACTCCACCTCATCAGTAAAACCTCCTCCTCCCACATCTAGGGGCCTGGTGCTTCTCTCCAGGGCTCGGCCCAGAGACCCCTGAATCCACCCTCACTAAAGGACTGGTTCCACACCCACCCTCCTTGCCACACTGAAGCGCTTTCTAGGCATCGCCATCTGCCCAGCACAGTGCCTGACTCACACCCAGGCACGATCTGATTTTGATTCCAAAACCATGGGACGTGAGAAAAAGTACCATCAACCCCATTGCTCAAACCAGGAAATCAGATCTAAATGTTTACTTGCTCAAGTCCTAGCTAGAAGCCAAAGAAAACTTCAAAAGTGGACCATTTATCTTTCAAAAATGTTAATACATGATTCTTAGGTAGTTTTGTACTGTATCCTTTGAGTTATAAACCTTAAATTTTAATTAATGGCTAATGCTCCCAGATATGTTACTATAAAATTACTGATTGACACCATAAAGGTAAGTTCTGAAAAATTTAATCAGAATATGTAAACTACAAGTATATAAAATGCACTCTAACAGATATATTATATTAAAAAAATAAAATTTAGTTGTGAGAATTTTATTCAGTAAAATACTTCCTCTGGGCTGCTAGTTTTCCTATAAACTTCAGGATGGCATTGTATACATTTCTGAAGAATGCTTGCTTTTCTTTGATGTGTTAATCATGGTAAAGAAAGCTATAATGGATGATATAAATAATGGCATATTACCTACTTGGTAAATCTCAAAGCCTAAAGCTCAGAATATGCATAAGAGGATATCCCACACAGTGCTGATCTCATGTTCTCAGTTCTCGAGCCCCAACCATGACAAACTTCCTCTTCTCTGGAAGCAAACTGGAGCACCCCCAACCTCTATTAAGTCAAATGGACCAGCTCAGGAAATCACTTCATTATGCTAATGTAAGAAAACAGGCAGGAAAACTTCTCTTGGAAAATCAGCTGTTCAGATTATCTACAGCTTCTGTTAGCAGCAGTTGTGAACTGCCAGGTATTTTAGATACAATCACACTACCATAACTTTCTAAAAAAAAGGACAGAGTCAGGAATACAGATCCAAGTTCCAGTCCAGATTTAGGATCTTTAGCACTTCTTCGAAGTTTCTCACTGTTTTGTGCTTATGCTAGTTGTGTAAAGTCGAACAGGACAGGGCACAACTGTTGTAAAAGTAGCTGTGCACTATACTACACTGACAGGGCAGTCATCCCTGGTGGTCTTCTGAGGTGTCTAGGGGTCCAGATGTTGCAGTATAAACAGGTTTCTACAAAATCCAACCCTACTAATTGGAAAGATCCTTTAAAATAGTAAAGTATGCCACAAAAGAAGTAGGTAGTCTAGAGATTTAAATCGTTTCTCCTCACCAGCTGTGCTACCAAGTAGTTTTACCTATCTGAGCTTCTTTCTTCACCGGTGATGCACCCAGGAGTTGGCTGGTAGACAATGCAGCTTTCCTCTGGGTCAGAATGCAGCTCAGCTCACTGGTGCGGTCCTTGCCTAAGGTGCCCAAGGCCCTGGGTTCCATCCCCAGCAATGAAACAACACACTCAACAGCTGCAGGAAACAGGATAACAGGATTTCATTAAGTCCAAGTTTCTACTGAAAAGCCAAATGTGTGTTGTTAAGTTTGACAGGGCTAAGTTAGGCCCTAAATTGTGCTAACTTCCCTGGCTGCTGAGGTGCTGCCAGTGATTTGTTTCCCTAATAACACCACACAAACAGGCCAAGTGGCAAAAAGCAAGCCCCAAATAAGGCAGTTTTAAGAGACAAGCACATTCTTAAAATTAAAATACTAAAAGTACCCAAGAGACTTAATTTAAATTCTCATCTTTCAAAGGATTTTGGGTTATGATGGCCTAGTTTAGTTCCAGGAGAAGTGTCTTCAGAGTCTTGTTTACAAACCTAAGATCTTGTAGAGAAGAAAATGTTCCAGCCTTTTTGGCATCATTTATACTACATTGTTTAAAAAGAGTTAGAACGGGGTTATTTATAATCTAAACTACTGGACAAACCCTTGGTCTAATAATATCTTGTACATGCATTAGTCAGAGTTAAGCATCAAGATCAGGTATAAGAATGCATGTTGAATGCCTTGTAATATTTGGTCTTTTTAAATAGTATCATCACCGTTACATAAAGTGTATGTCAGGTTGTTCACGGAGTCTCATTTACCCATATTTCCTTAAAGACATGTTCCTGGAAATTGTCAGTGTCCTGAGATTGTTATGTTATAAAGAATGCTAAGCTCAGCTTAATTTTTTTTTTTTTGAGACAGTCTCACTTTGTGGTTAAGGCTGATCTTAAACTCACTATGTAGCCCAGGCTGACTTCGAACTCACAGCAACTTTCCTGTTTCAGCCTTCTGAGTACTGGGATTACAGGCATGCACCACCATGCCCGGCTAATCTAACCTTAACTGTCTAGAACAAATCATGATTTTTCAGTCTAACATTGATACAAGCATTCCATGGAGACAATGGATTCCATATTCATTTGATCTTTTGACAACAATAACTTTGTAAAATAGTATTTTGAAGACAAAAAAAAAACATAAAAAATAAAGCAAGTGTTGGTTACCTAGTCTGAATCACTTACCCTCAGGTAAAATTTCATATCCTATTTTTTCTCCTATAACTGCCTATCACTGATACGTTATTAATATAACAGAGCCAGCTAATTATACAAACAATACAGCCTGCATTTTAAATACTGGAGAACATTAGCAGAGATCTGGTAACTGTGGACAGTTGTACAGAATCTAGTCAAACACATGTATTATTAAGGACTCAATCACTCAAAGCTTTAATAACTATTTACTGGACTTTTAAAAATCCACTAATTTGAGACTATTTTACACAGGCCTGTTTCCAAGTGACATAACTAAACTTTGTGGTCATCCATAGCTCCTAACTCTTGTGCTCTATAGGAATAAATTTCCCTTCTTCATTCTCAAAAACAAAACCTATAATAGTTTTTCTCTGAAAAAGATTCACCATTGTTACCAGTGTTCTCCTTCCAACTCCTTAAACTAACAAACTTCAGGGGGAATGGAAACAGCCACTGGTTGACTGTGTTTACAGGCACCTGACACTACTTTCCTAGATCATGTCAGTCTGACAAGCTGCTAGGAGAATGCCAGCACTACCCCAACTGTAACCAGTGAGGGCCCAGAGCAGTCAGGTAACTCATGTAAGGTCACACAAAGCAGGAGCTGACAATTGGCACTCACACCCAGATCTTCCAAGGTCTCCTAAATGCTAAGACAATCAGCAAGACTAACATGCTGTGAAACCAATTAAGGGAGGGGGACCATCATTTCTCTTTAAGTAACAGGAAAAGGAAAGATCAGTCAAGACTGCCTATAGCAAGACTGCTGGTGACTTGTCCGGGCTGGGCAGCACTGTTAAATGTCTTTTAATTGTGTAGTAAAAATGATTTTAACGCCACAAGTCTGCATGACACTGACCCTCAATTACTAGTACTCCCTGCATTGTCTTCAAATAGGTATCTGGCTCTGCCATTATTCATTCCCCACTCCCAAAGAACCACTTGTTTCTACATTTCATCCAACCAACATGGCTGAATGAAACACTGACACTAGGCTTTATTTTACTAAACAGTTTCAGAAACTAGTTGCTGTTTAGAGATTTACAGCCAAAATTCATGCTGTTTTCTGGAAATGGGTGGTACACACCTAATCCCAGTACTATAGAGACTGAGGCAGGAGGATCCATGCAAGTTCAAGGCCACCCTGAGCTACAAAGTGCGTTCAAGGCCAGCCTGAACCTGACTCAAAAAGATAAAATAAAACAAGACACAAACTAACACTCATGCCCTTCACAAGCTGCCAGGATCAGGTCCTTAAACTCTGCCTTACTACAGCTGACAGCATCCCCAACAGATAGAGAGAGATGTCTGCATAGCCCTAGGGTCCAGAATCCATAGATGCGGTAATCACTGAACGCACCTTGCAGCACAACTGCTCTAACTAACCTTTTCATCAAAGCGCTCCATTTCAGTGTGGTTCTAACTGAGGAGGTCCTCATATGAATACCTCGATTGCTTCTAACGTTTTAGACCAGCCAGGTTCTAGCTGCACCAATTTAAAGGGGAGCAAACACCAGTAAGGGTGCCTGTGTTGACTGCCTCTTCTGAAGTCCGCCCGTACTGGGAACACGTTTTCATTCTTCACTGTCAAACATAAAACACACACCCACCCCTGCTTCACTGTTCCAGCCAGAAACATCTGAGGGGCCACAGACAGAGGGAGAGCTGAGCACAGGGATTCTATGGGCCAGGTGATAACCTTGCCCTTGGGGACAGCTCTCCAAGCCCACTTAACCCCAGCCCCTTCCTGACAGCTCTGGGACTAGGTCCGGAGGTGCTGTGGTTTCAGGAGATCAGCACT